CTGTCTTGTGGTTTCAACCAAAATAGTAACTTCGACTAATATATTATATCCAACAATCCACATCGCAAGCAACCATTATCCAATTACTCTTTGTTGTTATAATAGCCCTCCAAAACCGCAGACCTCTTCTCTAGTTTTCCAACGATAATAGTAAGCGGTAGCCTCTTTCTTGGTAGTTCATGTTGTAGTAGCCATAGACAATAGCTTTTTGGCATTCTAACTCCAAAAATACAGCTTCATACTCTTTCTTTCAGCCAACTTTTCTTCTTTAATTGATAATACAAATTATCTCCATATAATTTGGAATGCTTTACGTTCTTTCTCTCTAGTTGACAATATACATTGTCTTATTTGGATAGTTAAAGAAAAGATAAATTAGTCTTTGGCATAAAAAAATCTTTGATACTCCTAGAGAGATTCTTCGATCATTCCGACCAATAAAGTAAACCCCCGACATCTTTTATATTGTATTTACATTTAGATCAATATTATGAATAAATACGATATTGTGATATGTATATGAGATTTGAAGTACATTGTTGTGTACCGAACTCAAAAGGGTCGAAACCCCTAGTACTTTTGAGGTGAAATAAGGTTGGTGTTTAATGTTTCTCGATGGAGTTGGAAGGAATGAGAATGGGTTTTAATTTTAATAATTTATCTAATATGAAAGCCTTTCTCGATGTGCATACTTAAAAATGACATTATTATTATTATGTGATTGATTACATATAGTGGTCATGTCATTTATACTTATGTCTTATGCCTTTTGAAATCATGTATGAATGTGATGGTGTGTGGTGAAATAATTGGTGTTGACCTCAATGGTTGACATTATGTCTTCTTAAATGTGATACATGAATGTGATATGTGTATGGTGAAATAATCGATGTTAATTCTAATGGTTAAAACCGCATTCTCCTAAATATGATGTGTGTGTAGTAAAATAATTAGTGTTAATCTTAAAAGTTAACATCATGTTCATCCCTAAATGTGATGTGAATATGATGTGCGTATATGGTGAAATAATCAATGTTAGTTTAAAAAAATTGACATCATGTTCCCCACCAAATATGATGTGTAAAAGTGATATGTGCATGGTGAAGTAATATGTACTAGCATCAAAGGTTGCCGTCATGTCCCGACTAAATGTGATATGCAAAGTGATATGTGCATATAGAAGTGATTAGTGTTTGCCTCAAAAGCGATACATCGTATTTTGATATGATCAAGTAATGTGTGTGTGTGATCAATGAAATCATATGATGTGGGTTGAGATCGTCATTGGTATTCTAAATTTATGTAGGTTGAAACCATAGTAAGTTTTCTATTTATGTGGATCGAATTTATGAGAGACTTTCCAAATTGATGTAGGTTGAAACCATAGTAGGTTTTTTTGTTTATATGGGTTGGAGTTGTGGGGGATTTCCAAATTTATGTAAGTTGAAATCATAGTAGATTTCTCATTTATGTGAGTTAAAATTGTGGGAGACTTTCCAAATTTATATGGGTTGAAACCATAATATGGTTTCGTTTACGTGGGTTGAAACCATAGTAGGTTTCCTATTTATATGGGTTAAAGTCTTAGGAAACTTCCTAAATTTATGTGAGTTGATACCATAGTTGGTTTCCCATTTATGTGAGTCGAAGTCGTGTGAGACTTTTTAATTATGTGATATGAGTCAAAGTTGTAGTAGAGTTTTCAAATTTAATTAGGTTGAAGTTGTCATAGGCTTTTTCGATTATGTGTTGTGAGTCAAAGTCATTATTGACTTTCTATCTTAAAAATTTCTTCTTGTTTTACTTTAGAGTATGGAAATAGGCTTTGGTCCGACTTAAATCTCAAACTACTCGATCAATCTACCCCAATAGAATAAATTTACTTGAATAGGCATAGATAAATAGAATAGAATAATAAGACCGATTTTGACATTCAACATACATACAATATGGCCTATCTTAGATAGAATATGGTGGCAATGATTTTGATCTTCCCCACTCGTAACCTATCACTTACTAGATTTCCGTGTTGACCAGTCTTGTGAGGGTTTTCTAGTTCCTTAATACTAAGTGATGACTCCTTTTTCTTAATTCCCTATCCATTCCTAGAGAAAGAGTCAATTCACCGAACCCAACCTTCGATGTCATCGACGAGCCCCCGTCGCGTCAATAATGATCATTCTGGTTATAATAAGATCGACAAGATTCCTAATGGTAGATGCATAAACATCTTCTTTTTTTTTTAATTCTCCAAAATTTTATTTTAAAAAAGGACTTTTCGTTGATTGACACGAGGGATTGTAAGTTTGGATCTCTATTAGAACGAAGTACAAGGTTACTTGAGTTTAAGGTTTTGTTTGAGAGAGGGTTTGTTTGGAAGGTCTTGTTTTAGAAGAGACCGCCCTAGTTTGTTGAGAGGAAGAAGACATGATAGAGAGCTATTAGAAGTATATTAACGAAAACTAATAAGAGAACAAAATATTTACAAAATTGAATTGGTATCTTTTAATTGTTACTAATCTAGGTTAATAAAACTTAAATATATTACTAGAGTGGTTACTTTATTGGTTATTTATAGATTGGAACGATCCAACACAAAAATTTCAAGTATCTTGAATTTGGATTGTATGAGATTCAAAATGTTAGATCCAAGATCCTTTCTCTACACATATGTTTAGATCGATTTGTGGATTGTGTTTTGCTTTCACCTCTATAAGTAATAAACCGTCGTTCACAACTCAACCATATATACCTTTTCTTCTTATTTTCTTATAGAATAGGCCGACATAATTAAAAATACTTTAATTACAAAAATTTAATATCTTTGTTAAATGTCCAACATTAACCAAAAAACTAAAACATTTGAGATAACTGAACAGTGAATTATCGTTCATCCGAACGAGTAATTATTGTCTCACTATTCATCACTACGAGTTTAGGGTTTTTTTTTTTTTAAATTTTCAAGTTGTTTTTTTTTTGTCCCTAAAATATATAAAATAAAAATTTTAATCCCCTAACTAATGCACTACACATGCTTTTTCTTTTCTTTTCTTTTTTTTGGGTTTTTTCTTTACTTTTTTTCATCAATTTATGTTCTTTTTTAATTTAATTGGGTGTTAAAATTTTAAAAAATCAAAATTTTCCTCGTTTTCTTTCATCAATTTATGTTCTTTTTTTTAATCGGGTGTTAAAATTTTGAAAAATCAATCGTAATTTTTTTTTTTTACATGAACTAACGATTATATAATATATCTTTTTATATTTTAAAATTAACATATACTTCAACTTATATTACTCTTGTTATTTAAATTTCATTATTTGAACTTATCATTGTTTTTTTTTTATGAAATTCTCATCCAATTGATATTTTTATATGAAATTATTTACTCGATATTATATAATTTATTTTTCTCTATGTTTGAATTTTAGAATAAAATTTTAAAATATGATTTAAAAAAATAAATTGGTATTATATATATATATATATATATATATATATTTTTAAAAAAAATATTAAAAGATATTTTAAATAATTTATCTCAATTCATTAGATATGGTCAAGACTTATAAAAAAATTATTGAATCGTTGACTTTATTAAAAATTAATTATACATCTTCCAACATAATACAAATTATTTACTATAAATATTTTTTTTAACATTATAAAACCAATTTATTTGGAGTAAAATATTCAAAATAATTTTTTAAAGGAACCAATCAATTATTCACATACTGTTTTTTATACTAATTTTATTGATTATTTTGTAAATAAATATATATAGATTAAATGCATATACTTGAAAAAAAAATCTTCTTACTAACATTAAATAAGAATAAAATTTTATTTTTTCATTGGTTAATTTTTATGCAAGTTTATACATTAATTGTAACTTTATTTTTTGGATACATTCTTATGAAAAATATATATAATTTTAAATTTTTTATTTTTAAATTCTTAATTGATATTTTAAGTTTAAATTATTACAAGTTTTTATTTAAGAATCTATGAATAATAAAGAATAAATCATGTTTTTTTAAGCAGAAATTTTATGAAAAAACATAAAAAATAGTAATAATTAAATAATAAAATGAATGACAAAATTATAATATTTTAAAATAATTTTTTTATTTACATGTAGAGTTGTGCATATAATTTCAAAAATTAATCTTCTCATCAGTATTAAATAAGAATTTTTTTCATTTGTTAACTTTTATAAAAATTTGTTTATTAATTATAACTTTATTTTTGAAATATAATAATGTGAAAATTATATTTATTTTTTTTTCAATTCTTAATTAATAATTAAGTTAAAATTATTGTAATTTTTAATTTTAAAATCAATTTATAAAGAAGAATTACGTTTTTTTAAACAAAATATTTATAAAAATATTTAAAAAATTAATTAAATAAAAAATTATAATAAAAAATTTTAAATAATTTTATTCTATCGGATCTGCTATCTAACATAGGCAATCGACTAATGAAATACTCTGTGAGCACTTTTTTTTTTTTTTTTTTTTGGTGCAAAACACTGTACATTTTACATCCACCCACATGTTGCCTGGGGTTGCGTTTCAGAACAAAATGGAAAACAACACCGGTAAATTCGAGTTTAAACTTTCATTTCCCCCTCACGTAACGCCTTACCCCAGTAATAAATTAAATAAATATAATAGTAAAAAACAAAATAAAATTTGAATTCGAAAAATCAAAAAGCAAAAAAACAGAACACATGAGCTTCTCTTGCATTAAACACACAATCTCTCCATCGGTCTCTCTCTCTCTCTCCCTGTGAAAGAATCCTTTCCTTTTCATTTCCCTCCACAGATCTCCAAAAAAAGTCCTCATCAAACCCTAATTTTCACTCTCTCTCTCTCTACAACCTTCTCTCTTTCTCTCTCTCTATCGCATGATTCTAGAACCTTCATGAATCTCTCCACCACCACCACCACCTTAATGGGCCACCATCATCATCGCCATCATCGACGTCCATCATACGATGCCTAAACTGCGTAGCCAAACACGCAGAAATCGGGCTCAGAATAACCATCAGAATCCTAATCCGATTAAGCTGACTGTGCATACTCGTAAAAAAAGAACCGCTGAGGTTGACAACGAGAGAAAAATTACGCGATCGTTGATGATAAGGAGAATATTGTGAGATTACCTGATACCACGCCGTCTAGAAAGGAACAGCAGGACGAGGAAGCTAGGGCTTGGAGAAGAGAAGAAGAGGTTGCTAATAAGAAGATGGATGAGTACGATAGCGGCGGTGGCAAGAGCGCCGACAAGGGACTGGGAGCGGAAGATGAAGGAAGCACTGCTCCTCTTCCTGAGAAGGTGAGTTTTAGTTTTGTTTTTTTGAGATTGTGTTTGGATGGTGAGAAGCTATGGGAAAGTGAAGGAAAATGCGAGAAAGTTCGTTTTTGTGTTGTGTTTTGCAGGGAATCGGTTTAATGCATATGAATTTAGTGTCTGATATTTGAAAATTTTTGGATTTTTATTGTTAATTTTTTTAGTTTGAAACTATTTTTGTTAATTGCTGGAAGGGTGACCATCAAAATCAGTAAAATGTATCTTATTTATTGTTAAGTTCCATTTTTTGTGTCACTTAAATCAACTAATTGTGTGAGTTTAGCTTATATATAAATAGATTATGGCACTGTGATTATTTATAGAGGAAATATGTCTTATTATTTTGAGTCTTTTTACCACAGGTTCAAGTTGGTGGTTCTCCAATGTACAAAATAGATAGAAAACTGGGTAAAGGAGGTTTTGGACAAGTGTATGTTGGTCGACGAATTGGTCCCACAAATTTTTCAAATGAAAGAACTGGCCCTGGAGCTTTAGAGGTATGCAATCTTGTCTCTATTGCATAGTTTCTCGATAAAATGTGCTGGATTTTATGTTTGTAATGGAGTTTGTTTGTAAATTGTAGGTAGCGTTAAAATTTGAGCATAGAAGCAGCAAAGGATGTAATTATGGACCGCCTTATGAGTGGCAAGTTTACAAGTGAGGATCCTACTTATTATTGGATGTATTTTTGGTTTTTTGTAGGTGTATTGCATTGTTAGGGAGGTAATTGTATTTAGGGGGTTACAACCTTAGTTTATCACTGCTGTGTGTACAGTGCACTTGGAGGCAGTCATGGTGTGCCACGAGTTCATTACAAAGGGAGGCAGGGTGACTATTATGTTATGGTATGTGTTGTTTGATTTGTGGCCTCTTTTTAATCTTTTGTCGCTGAGAATAAAGTTTCAGCCTCTGGCAAAATTGTTTTTGAAGAATGTCTAAGAAAATGCTATATTTCTTGCAGGTTATGGATATGCTTGGACCTAGTCTATGGGATGTTTGGAATAACAATTCACACACGTAATTGTTTTTTGCTTGATTGTTTTCTATTAGTTAACAGCACAAGATCAAACATTTTCAATATATCTTATGATTACTCCTTATCTTTTCAATTTCAGGATGTCCATTGAAATGGTTGCTTGCATTGCCATTGAAGCCATCTCTATACTTGAAAAGATGCACTCTAGAGGGTGAGATTTTCTTAATAGCAAGTATGCTGATAATTTTGTTTTTATATATAAGGACTTAAATCTCCAGTTTGGAAAGAATGGACTACTTTTGGTGATCTGAGCAACGGATTTTGATATTGAGGTTGATTTTTAAATTGTATACTTGGTTGGTCCTTGAGAGGACATGTGGGTCTTGCTAGTCTCCATGTTAGTCTTATATACCTTGTTAATTTCTGTATAACTGGTGGTAAGTAGCCATCGTGTGTCATGTTCACCCCCTCCCCGCCCCCTGAGAATGTGACGAGTGTGATTAAATGGAACCACAAATTTGCTGCTCCCTTGCAATCACATTTACATTATTTGCAGCCGAACATACTGAGTGAGCCAGTTGTAATAATCAACTCTCAAATAGTACTGGCAGTGCTCTACTGTTGTTTCCTATTAGAAGGAATTTTCATAATATAGATGCTTCTGTTCTGGCAGATATGTCCATGGGGATGTAAAACCCGAAAACTTTTTACTTGGTCCACCAGGTTCTCTTGAAGAAAAAAACTGTTTCTTGTTGACCTTGGGTTAGGTAAGTTGTTGAATTTTCCAGTTCTTAATGTGACCCTGATACTTTCTTGACAGATGATGGTGCCTAATGTTTAGTCATGTTATTGCCTATTTCCTTACAGCAACCCGGTGGAGAGATAGTTCAACTGGTTTTCATGTTGAATATGATCAACGTCCAGATGTTTTTAGGTAAAATGAAATTGTGTGCTAATTGGACCTTATGCCAGCTTAGCATTATCTTTGGGGATTCCTATATCCCTTTGTTTCCATTGCAATTCATTCGTGCTTGAACATTGCTGTGCTGCAGGGGAACTGTGCGATATGCCAGTGTTCATGCTCATCTTGGTAGAACTGGTAGCAGGAGAGATGACTTAGAATCTCTTGCCTACACTCTCATCTTTCTTCTCCGTGGCCGATTGCCTTGGCAAGGATATCAGGTTTGCAGATTATTAAATCTAATTTGTGTGTGCCTATAGGACTAGTTCCAATTTCTTTCTAATGCCATGGTTTTTTTAGGGGGAAAATAAAGGGTTCCTTGTTTGCAAGAAGAAGATGGCAACTTCTCCAGAAACTTTGTGTTGCTTCTGTCCTCAGCCTTTTAGACAGTTTGTTGAGTATGTTGTAAATTTGAAGTTTGATGAGGAGCCAAATTATGCAAAATATATCTCCCTTTTTGATGGAATTGTTGGTCCAAATCCAGATATAAGACCAATCAACACTGATGGTGCTCAGAAGGTACCTATTATGTATTTTTTATCCAGACATTATTGTTGATTTTGATCATTGAGACAAATACTTTGTTGTCCCAGAATGTGGAGGTTGTTAACCTAATGTTTTTTTCTGTGAAGCTTATATATCAAGTTGGGCACAAGAGAGGGCGGCTGACAATGGAGGAAGAAGATGACGAACAACCAAAGAAAAAGGTCAGAATGGGGATGCCTGCAACGCAGTGGATCAGTGTTTATAATGCTCGTCGGCCTATGAAACAAAGGTATACACCGAACAGTTACATGCTCTGCTCTTCAAATTTTGGTGACAAGGATCAAAGGCTGATATTTTCATTTCCTGGTGTAGATATCACTATAACGTGGCTGATGTGAGGCTCTCCCAACACATAGAGAAGGGTAATGAAGATGGATTATTAATCAGCAGTGTGGCTTCTTGTTCAAACCTATGGGCCCTGATTATGGATGCTGGCACTAATTTCTGTGCTCAAGTTTATGAGCTTTCTCCTTATTTTCTCCATAAGGTTGGTTTTTAGTCCATGGATCTGAGGACAAGTATCTATTATGGATCTTCAATTTTATACAATCGCTATTTGCTAACAAGTTTTCTACCGAATATCTGCATATTATCTTGTGTTTTGATGTTGGAAGTGTTTAGACCTTTTAAACTCTTAACACAACAACTTATTTTGTTTGCTATATTCTTTTTTTTTTTTTTTTTTTTTGAAGGAATGGATAATGGAACAGTGGGAGAAGAATTATTACATCAGTGCAATTGCTGGAGCTAATAACGGGAGTTCATTTGTTGTTATGTCTAAGGGTTAGTGTTGTATCTCCTTCAGTAGTAGTCATTCTAATATTTTCTTATTGCATCTCTTGATTTTTGTTGCTTTATTTAATCCAGGGACCCAGTATTTACAGCAGTCTTATAAAGTAAGCGATTCATTTCCCTTCAAGTGGATCAATAAGAAATGGAGAGAGGGTTTTTATGTCACAGCTATGGCCACTGCTGGAAGTAGATGGGCGATAGTTATGTCTCGTGGTGCAGGATTCTCAGACCAGGTTGCTTTTGTAATTCTCTGCACAATGAAATGCTTCTGGGGCCAACAATTAAGTTTTGTAACTTATGGTTTTTTTGGTTTTCGTTCCAATTTTAGGTTGTGGAGCTAGATTTTCTATATCCCAGTGAAGGCATTCATCGCAGGTGGGATAGTGGTTACCGCATCACTTCAACTGCAGCAACATGGGATCAAGCTGCTTTTGTTCTCAGCGTGCCAAGAAGAAAACCAGCAGATGAAACTCAAGAAACACTTCGAACTTCTGCTTTTCCCAGTACGCATGTCAAGGTTTGTTGATCAGTTCCATGTTTCTCCTGGTTTTCAATTTCTTTTTGATCCTTTCCACCCACAAACCATGCACATTTGATTTACTTAATATTTATATTTTTCAGGAGAAATGGGCAAAGAATCTTTATATTGCATCTGTTTGTTATGGTCGAACTGTGTCATGAATACTTACTGAAGTTTGGCTGGGGATGCTGCTGCCGTTATCATGACAATTTAGAAGACAGTTCTTATCACTTGTGACTCCTTTGAGAAGCAGAGATTGCATAAGCCAAATTGACTCGTCATGGCATTTGGGAGTCTTATGTATGCAAAATTCTACCTTAATGTACCCATCACATAACATCCATTGATACCTGTGCACTGTCTTTCAATTGGGTTGAAATGTTTATAGGATGGAATCGATTTACCCATTGCTAAGAAGTTTGTATAGTTATGAACAGTAGTTGAAGGGGTGTGCACAGGTCATGTGGTCATGTTTTCATTGTTGATGGTATTTTTGAAAGCGTGCTATAATGGTTTTGCAATGGGCTCTAATCATTCCCAGTCATCAAGTCTGTACCCGGCTTATTCTTCTTCCATCTTTTTTGGACTTGAAGTTCCTAGTGATCTTTCACCTCTGTACTTCCTGGATGTCTGAATGACCTAAAAGACCGAGGATGTACTCCTTTTGTATACTTCTAAACAACAGTATGTACTGTTTTCTAACTATTAATGCTTTATGCCGTAATCTTATGCATGTTTTTACCTCTTAAGATCAACTCAGTGCATCTACTGCATTATTTGTCTGGCTATATTTGAGTGCAGTTGGTCAAGTATTCATTAAAATGCAACTGGTTTTTTTTCTGCCAAAGAAGATTCTTGTTAATCTTCCAACATGTTATCAGACTGACCTCTAACTTTGGTTTTGGAAAGAGCGCAGAGCTGATACCATTAATTTTTGGGAAAGAAAGTTTGTCTATGTTCAGGTCTAGGTATTTGATCTCTTAATTGAATATATATCCTAAACGCAACACATGCCAATTTTCTGGCAGGTTAGTCAGTTGCAGTCATCCATATTTGAAAAGCTGTCATCAATATATCAGAGTGGTTGTTAGCTACCAATTATTTGTTTGTCAATTTTTGTTTATGTAACTTGACAATGTAGGTACCTAGATTTTGGTGCATTATCAGGCACTGCAGGTTAAATTGTGAATATTTGTGGTCGAGTTCTTCAAAGCAGAAAGCAGCAAGACTTTTTTCATAAGAATATCTTTTTGCTTGGCGCATATCATCGAATAGTTGAGAAGTTCTTCAGACTTGGTATGTGGCTGCAACCTTTTATTGTGCTGCTTGCAGCTGATTCATTATTTCATTGGCATTTGAATTAGTAACACCTCTATTATTTTCTTGATTTTTTGGTATTTCATCTACCACATAGATTAAATAAAACTGAGGCACATCCTGTTTTATTGGCAGTGAGTACAAACTAAATGGATAGATGTTGATATAGCTATCGAATGCTAGAGTGATGCATCTTGATGATGTCTTTACTGTAAAGTTGTCTCTTCTTCATGCTACTGATGGTAAGAAGCCCTTTTTTATTTTCCTTAATTTGCTTTTATTGGAAGAACAAACATTCATTATTTTGTGATGACTTACATTTCTCGTTTCACATCTCTGGATGCATTCTAAATTGTTCTTCTCTGACCTGTACTGTCAATGTTTTAATTTCCAACACGGACCTTGTATGGCTCCAAAGAATCTCCAGGGGAATATCGTCATGTTAACCACTTCACATGTCCAACGTTTGAGAACTGAGCATATCAAAGAGATCTGTTTATGCTGAATTAATTCCACAGCTGATTTTGAGGATGCTTTTGATTTTCTTTTTTCCTCATGATTTTGTTGCAGGATAAATGAATGGATGGGGGTTACTGTGGAGATGATCTGTTGTGAAATAATGAGAGTAGTTTCCTAGACCAGGGTGGTTCTGATGTGGTAATATGATTGAAATTAGTGAGTTTGCTTCTTCCTTGGACAGTTTGCATCATCGGTTGCATGTGTTTCTGCTGTGTCCAGCGAAACATAGGCTGACATGGGTCATATTTGATGACATGACTTTCAACCCCTTTGATTCCATTCAAGAAATGAAAAGAAGAAAAAGAGATCTCAAATAAACTGACTCTGGCATGTTTGAACTGGATCAGCTAGAGTTGAAAATCCTCTTCCCAGAAACAAGAACCACTCAATAATAATATGCGCTCTTCCTGTGACCCGTCTTCAGGTGGAGCAATTTTCTTTATTGTTTCCTTCTCTTCATCCCTTCTTAACTGTGAAGATGTTTGTGTTTAAAGGCAACTCCAAACAAATTGCATAAACTGTTGGCAGTATTTAAGGTAACCTGTGATGAAATTGGTTTTTTGGTGCATGTTTGCTGCTAGCAGTTTGATTAGGCTACTGAAATTCACATAATGTTTTTTGCTTGCTCAGGCATATTGATGTAATGCTCAATATCCAGGTTGCAGGCCTACAGAAGGCAAATGTGTCTTGTGGCTGCATGGGTGCTGATGTTAATTAGAGAATCTTCCCAATGAAAATTAATCTGTTCACCATGGCTTGTAAAGGATACGATTGCTAGCAGGTCATGTCTGATGAAGCTTTCAGTTTATGAATTTTTCCATAGAACTAAACGGTTTTCTAGTAGTGTGCACATTGGATAGTGGTTGAAATTCATTGGGCACTGAACTGTACGCCATGTTTGGAAATCTTCCATTTTTCATCATTCATTTATTTGGACTGTCTGTTTTTATATTCGGTTTTGCTAGCTTAAATTCAGAGTTGCTTTCCAACGTGTCTAAATTGTTCTTAATGAATGATGGTGGTGGTAAAAATAATAATAATAATAATAATAATAGATTTTAAAGATGTTAAAAAATAACCTTTTTATTAAAGCAGAAAAAAAGAAAAAGAAAAAAGAGATATTTTAGCAATCATTATTATTATATATTTGCGAGTAAATTATAGATTAGTTGAAATGAATTAAATAGTTTTTTTTAAAAAAAATTAATTATTTAGTTTTTTTAATCAATAATGTCCGACTAATTAACATTTTTTTATTTTATAAAATGATTTTTTTCTCATATATCTTTCCGTTTTTACTTATTTTTTATTCTTTTTCTATCTCTCAAAACAAAAAATCAAAATAAATTGAAAAATAACAAAAAGATTAAATAATTAGTTTTTGAAACTAAAGAGATTAATTAATTTTCTTTTTGGAGTGAGGGACTAATTTATAATTTACTCGACTATAGAATTGTCATATGAATGTTTTTAGATGGGGAAAAAAAAGAGGAGGATTTATGGTGGCGTTGAGTTTCTTTGGTTTCCTTTTGTCTTTGTTCCTGTCTGAAAAAAAATAAAATAAAATGAAGACACTATATTTTTTTTATTCAAAATATCTTTTATGAGTTTAAATTTATATTTATGATGGTAAATAACTTTTGAATATAAAATAAAATATATATAGCATTTTTTAAAAAATAAGAAGTGAGTTTTAGTTAAATTTTTTAAACTCTTAAAAGGTATTTATAATTTTATAATATCTCAAAAAAAATTTATTATAAATCACTTATTTTGATTTTATAAATTTCTTAATTTGACTCAAAAGTGAGAATATAAATTTTATTAAAATTTTTGAAAAGTATAATTTTATTGCAAATCTTGATTCTTTTTTTCTGTCTCAACAAAAGACTAGTGAAATAACACAAAAATTTATATTCTCACTTTTAAGTGAAATTAATAAAATTTTATAACAAATTATAAAAAAAAATTTGGATAACAAAATAATTTATCTTTAATATTTTTTTTTTAAAGAGTGATTGGATACATCTTCATCTTTTTTTTTTTTTAGTTTTTTTAAATTATTTATTTAACTTTGATCAAAATTAATAATAAAGGAACGAGATTAAGCAAAAAAAAGGTTGACACTTGTAATTCCGTGAAACCAACCGTACGATTTAACAACCTTGGTTCAAAAATTAAAGGAATGATGCGATTAAGATAGATATCAAATGTAGAGAGATGAATTAAAAAAAAAATAGAGGGTTACAATAAAAAAGAAAGAAAGAAAGAAAGAGTAGATATACTCTTGTAACCATTAATCGAAAGATAAAATGTGTTCATGAAAATAAATAATTATTAGCAAATCAACATTAACAATAAACTAAAAGATTCGGGGTGTTTACTCGTTCATATGAACAATAATTTTTCTCTCACAAAACATTAATCATCCACACAAAAAATGATTCACTTTCATTGTTAACACTTTATTCACACGAGTGTCAACCTTTTGTGATTTTAAGACTTCTTTAGGGCATTTTGGAATCCACATTTGTGAAATGTTATTCTTGGATAACTCATTTAGACAACGTTTTTGTCTCGATTCTTAACTTTATTTGTATCACGAATTGGTCTTTAAATGGAGCTAGTAGGTAAAAACAAAGACGAGAGGAAGAAGGAGAGAGAATAGGTATGAAAATAAAATGAAAAGAACTTGATGAATGAGCAAAAATATGTGACTAGTATGACTTAAATGGCGTGCGTGGAAACATGGCTTAAAAATAGTCAAATAAACAAAATAGGTAACAAAGAAAAAAATGGCAAAAATGGCTAAGTAGATAAAAGCGATAAAAAAAATAGTAAATTAGACACAATACATAAAATAGTAAAAATGGCAAAGAATAGTCCAAAAACAAGTTTCAAACTAACACGACTTTTAATATCATGATTTTCAAACACAAAAAAATTTGGTAACTAAAATTGGCATGGTAGACAATGTAAGCACGAACAATCCAAACCAAGGTGTAGATTGACATGACTTAAAAGTCATGTGTTTTCAAGATGATATTTTGGGAAAAATCGATAAAAATGCTCCAAATAGCGATTCGGACCAACACGAATCAAATATCACATTTTTTGAAAAAATAGGTGACAATATCAAATTAACCGTCACAATTGGCAAAAATAATCCATAAATGAGGTTCGGACCAACGCAACTCAAGAATCACATTTTTAGGCGAATTAGTGACAATAACAAAATTAATCATTACAATCAACAAAAGTGTCCAAAAACAAGGTTCGGACTAGCGCGACTCAAAATCACATTTTTTAGATGAAATTGGCGTAC